GGTCTCAGAGTCTTCCTCTGGGGAATGGCGCTGATCCCCACTCTACTCAGGGTGCAGGCGAAGTGAAATGTGAGGATGAAGGGCCCCTGACATGGTACCTCTGACACCTAAGTGCTCAAAACACTTTAATTGTCAGACTTGTTATTCTGTTTGTCACTTTTGGTCACCAGATTCTTTCATTTCTATAAAATAAACATTTTGCAGTCCCCAATCTCAGCCCTAAGTCTCTGTGTGATGGCCTGTGCTCAGACTGGTCAAGCTGCCCTAGCTGGTGCCCAGATGCCAGTGAAGAGGGAGAAGAGAAGTCCACACGTAGGCCTGGCTTTGACCCCAAAGCCAGCCTTGCCACCATGGAGGCTGTGGTTGCACATAAGCCCTGCCCTACCTTGGAAAGGACTGCAGAGCGCACTGCCCCAGGACACAGATAACCCTGATGCTTCCCTGTTAAGGTAACAAAATAAGTACCTGCCATTTCTTGGGCGGCAACTCTCTCTCTTTCTCTATACAGAAAGTGGGCATTTTGTTCTTCTTCTAGTTCTCAGACTAGAGAACAGGCACAGAGAAGGCCAGATCCCCCACTCTGCTAGGAGACAGACCAAGATCTGAACCCTGTCCCCCACTCTGCTTTTGCCTCATTGGGCTGCCCTGGCTGCTCCAGCTCACTGTGCCCAGCTTGTGAGGGCTGCCATCCAGGGCCCACCTTCTGGCATGAAGGAACCTTTGGGAAAGCTCCAGTAGTCACATGAGGTCTGGAGGGGGTGGCAGAGATGAACTGGATCCCTTCTCTGGGGGTTAGGAACCTGAGATGGCCAGAGCCGGATGCCACGCCTGACTAGGATGACATCCTAGCCACCTGCCCTTCACGCGTCAGCTGGCATAACCGACCAGACCCTAGTCAGGTCCTGTGCTGAGTACTCTCAATACAAAGTCAGGTCGGGAGAGTGGAGACAATTTTCTAGTCCTCAGAAGCAGGGCAGAGGTATGTGTTACCCAGCTAGACTGCCCTCAAATTCTAACCCAGCCATTTACCATCTAGGTAGCCAAACAAGTCACCAAATTCCTCTGAGCCTGTTTCCTCATCTACAGAAGGAATAAGTAACAACACTACCTAGCAACAGTGTTATGGAGATTAAATGAGGTAATACAAGAAAAACTCAGCATAGTCCTAGGCTCAGTGAGTACTGGTTGAGAAGCCCCAAACCCTTTAGAGAGGAGTCCCCTCTTTCCTCTTTGTTCTGTGCCCCCTGATGTAGACCTCTTTCAGGTGCTCAGCAGGGGTTTAAAGAAAAAGACATCAACACACACATGTTATGAAAATTATGTGCAAGTATGTATCACCTGTAGTCATGTTTATCCATGAAGTGGGGTTGGGGGAATTTTAACTTTCATACTGTCTATACTTCACTGCCCATGATAGTTAAAGTCCACTGCATGGCTATTGTGCCAGGTCCAGTACTAGACACTTCTATTCAAGACTTCCTAGTCCTAACTACATCCTTCCCAGTGTCATATTGTCCCCATGTTATAGATGACAACTGGAAGCTTAGAGAAGTGACGTGGCTTGACCGAGGACATGCAGCATGCCAGGAGCTAACCCCTGGAGTGTGCAGAAGGCAAATTTGCATGGCAGACCAGGGGAGAAAAATGGTGCACAGAGAGGGTAACATCTGAGCTGAACCTACAAGGCTAAGTGGGACTTCTGTAGACCAGCTTTCTTGAAAGGGGTGGATTTTGACTCCAGAAGGCATTTTTAATGTTTGGAGACATTTTTGGTTATCGTAACTTGGGGGGAGGGTTGCTACTGGAATGTGATAGGCAGGGGCTAGGGTGCTACTAAATTCCCTACAATGCACAAGGAAGCCCTGCCCAACAAAGAACTACCAAGCCTCAAAAGTCATTAGTACTGAGAATGACATTATGTACTGTAGCTCTCATTTATTGGGAACTTCTACGTGCTAGTTCAGCACCAATTTCGTATAAACATCATCTCATTTGAAATCCTAACCCCATTACTTCCATGCTGTCCATGAAGGACTTGGGGTTCAGCAATGGCAAGTCACTTTCCTAATATCACACAGCCAGTAAATGGCAGAGCCAGGATGGATGGAACTGCCTGAGCACAAAGCCAGAGCTTTTCACTCTGTGGCCTCCAGGATTAGAACAGCGTAAAAGCTCCAGGTAGGGCGTCTGGAGACTCCAGCTGAGTGCAGGCCTGGCTCCTCTGGATTCAAGGACTTGGGCATGTCTCCACCCTTCCCGCTCTACCGTTTCCCCATCTGTCAAGTGAACAGATGATCTCCAAGGCTCTGCCAGCTCCGAGTCTGTCATTCTCCAGGAAAGGGGCCTGGCTCAGGCTGCAGGAGCTGCCAGCTGTGGGGGAAGGGAGGAGGTGGGAGGGGTGAGCACAGCTTCATTCCCAGTGCATACATAAATAGCTAATGAGACTGTTTTTCTACTAGGAGGGAGCAGCAGGTGAGGTGGATGGTAATCTGAACTTCACCCAAGCGCATGTCTTTTTCATCGGGGAGGCAGATTTCTCTGTCACCACCTGGCCAAGGTCAAAGGGGACACAAAAGTAGGCCTCCTTCTTGTGTAAAAGAGGAGGTTTTGAGTTTTCACTCCGTAGGGTAAGTCAGCCTTCAGGGCCAGGAGGAAAAAAGATGTCAATGCATGTTGTCCCTGTCCCTGTCGTGTGTCAGGCACCTCAAAGCAGGTGCTTCTCAGGTCAGTTTTACCAAAGTCTAGGTAAGAAGGAATTGCCCTCACCCCATTTCTTAGACCCAGCATCAAGGAGACAGTACCTGAGGCAGGCCTAGGAACCCAGTGTGTCTGATCCCAGGACATGTGCTACAGTCTTGTTTTTCTTTTCATCCAAGAATGTAAGTGACTTAATATAATTTGGGAAAAGCATGTTTAATTTCTCTTGCATTGTCCTGGTCACAGAATGTAGAATAAAACTCCCAAATGACATAATTTACTATTTAAGGAGACCCCAAGGAGACAGGAGAACCAAGGCTAGAAGGTCAGACAAGGAGGGGCAGGGGTGTGCCACAGGGACAGTATCTGGCCCAGGCCAGACTGCACTCTCTAGTCCTTGTCTCTTCCTGTCTGGCAGTGCAGCCCTGGATTAGCTACAGCACCTCTCCAGACCTCAGTTTCCATATCTGTAGGACAAAGGGTTTTCACAGCCCCTTCAAATTCTCACACCTGTGCTTAGTCCTGACAAAGGTCCCTTCCTCTTCCCTATTTATGTGACTGCCCAGACAAGGAGAAAGGGACATCAAACACCTAACCCAAGGGACTCTGGGGGCAGAGGGCCAAGGCTGGCATTGTGCATCCTCCCAGAGCCCCTCTCTGATCTTTGTTCACCCTACAATGGGACCTCCATCCTCAGGCAGACAGACTGGATGTGGTCAGTTGTGTTGTGGAACAAAAGGAACTGATAGATGGCAATGGTGAACATGGGCCACTTTTTGCAGTACCAGTGGTTATTTCCATGGGCATCTACTAGATATGGGCTAAGGAATAGAAAGAGATTCAGGTATAGCACAGATGAGTGGTAGTATGGGGAAAGTAGTTATTTAGCTCTGATACTGGGGAGTTAATTAACTCCCAAGATAGTCTGCTGTCTTGTAATAAAACATCTGGGCCAAAAATTGCTGCTTCTAAAATGCTCCTTGGTCTTGGCTAGCTCAAGCCAGGATTGGCCATTTGTTCATTCAACTTCTACTGGTGTGGATTGTAAACTAGGCCTTGCACTGGATTATCTCTGCCTTTGGGGAACTGTGTGCTACATTGGGATCCCAAGGTCATGGATGTAGGACAGCTGGATTGAAATAGTTTAGCCACATAAGCTTGGGAGTCATTTTATTAAACATGGTAAAATAGGTTTCTTTGCTATACAATTTCTCCAAGTCTTTAGTATGCAAATACACACTGAGAATCCTGGGAGGCGGGTATAGAACATATACTACATATCCCAAATATAGCCGATCTTGGAATACTTCTTTTAAAAATATCGTACTCACTAAGAGATGGCATTTGGGAAAACGTGGTCATTCTTTCTTTTCTGCCTAGTAGATCCTGGAGGACTTTTCAGGGAGGATATGTGATCTGAACAAGACCTTGAGAATGTATCAGAATTGATCAGTGAAGATGGGAAGGCTTAAAGGAAACCGATTCGAGTCTGAGGCTATGCTCCAAAGACTGTTTCACTGAGTCCTCCAAGATCTAGATGTGGTTGATGGAGCCAAGAAGGTCATCAAAAACTCCTGGAAGTCTCAGAGTTCACTACCACTACCTCAAGTCACCTCCGGAGTTATTCTCCAAATCTTGAGTCCTCAAGTCCTATTCCCACTTTTGGTTGGCCCCTACCCTGCTTTAAGTCTCAAAGAGTTCTTACACTATCCCACTCTTAATCTTTCACAGGCCTCAATTTACCCCTTACCTCCCAAATCTGTCCTCTCAATTGGTCCTGACTTTGACTCCTATCTTAGGCTTAGTCCGCATGTGCTCAGTACAATGTGGCGGCTCACTCCCCCACATATGGATGCACACTAGATGGAAATCTCACCCCACTGTGTCCCCAAGCCTGCCAGAGATCAGCTGCTGGGTTTAGCGCCACTCCTCATAGGCCCGCCCTTGACCAACTCTGATTAGGCTCTGCCCTCAACAATGCCTCAGCCCAGTACCAGGTTCAAGTTTGAGCTCATCTGCCCGGACTTTTCCATTCCACCCTTGACCTTTCCCCATCAGGCGCCAGCTCACACTTTAGATCAGTTTCAGACCCAGCTCCCTGCAGACAGGCCAAGGTTCCGCCCCAGACCCGCCCCCTCGCCGCAGCCCCGCCCCACCCCGTATTAAATCTGATAGGGTCTGACCCTGCCGGAGGCCCCGCCCCGTGAAAATTCTGACTGGTCCGTGCCAGCGGTCCAGCCTTGACCCCACCCCCTCCGGGGCCCGCCCCCGCGCCCCGCCCCCGCCCCTGGCAGCCAGCGCACCTGCAACTCCTCGAAGGCTTCGTCGATGCCGGTGACCTGGTGCTGCTCGTGCAGCGCGGGCTCGTCGCAGAAGAAACAGAGCAGCGCACGGTCCGTGAGGCAGAACAGCTTGACCTTGTCGTGCGCCTGGCAGGGTCGCGCGGCTCGGCGCGCGTTGAGGATGGCGTCCAGCGGGAAGGCACTGTAGCGCTCCACGATGTTGGCCAGCTTGAGGCTGGGCGCCAGCGCGGGCTCAGCGAACGTGCGCCGGCACTCCGGGCAGTCGCGGGCGCCCTGCGCCTCCTGCCGCACCCAGTGCTCGGTGATGCAGCGGCGGCAGAAGTAGTGCTCGCAACCCAGGCTCACCGGGTCCTGGTAGATGCTCAGGCAGATGGAGCAGAGCAGCTCGTCCTTGAGGCTGCAAGCCATGGCGCCAGGGAGGGGGCCCCGAGGGGCGGGGGGCGGCGGAGCACGCGGCGCTGTCGGGGGCAGCACCCGAAGAGGGCACGGAGACACCGGCAGCAGCTATAGAGGAAGGAAGGGGCTGCTGTCCGGGAGAGGGTAAGGCGAGCTCGGGGGTCCAAGGCAGCGACTACGCAGGATGCGAGCCCAGGAGGGCGGTTTCGAGGTATTGAGTAGCCGGAGGTGATGGGTGCTGGAGGAAGGCGGCCGAGGGTCTCCGAGGAAGGAGGCTCCTGGCGATAGGGTCCTAGGGAACGAGACGGTCCGAAGGGATGGGTGCCTTCGGGGCGGAGATCCAAGAGGGGGGCTGAGGCCTTGGGGTACTAAAATCCCGGGACAGGGACCGGTGGGGGAGGGGGCAAAGCTGGTGTTGAAGAATTCTGGGGTGGAGGGAAGCCAGGCCGAGCCGCACCGCTGTGCATCCGGCACAGCAGAGGAAGGTGCCAGCCCACTCAGCTGCCCGATTCCAGTCACAAGCCCCGGCGCGGCACGACCCCTTACCCCAGCCGGCTCGGCGGCCACTGCTTGGGTCCAGCGCAGCCTCTCAACCCGGAACCAGGCGAGCCGAGCTGCCGGCGGCCGCTGCTCGCTCCCCGCCTCCGCGGGCAGGACCCGGGCGGCTCCACCCCCACAGCGGGCGGGCGGGCGGGCGGGCGGGGGCGGGGCCTCGAGACTCAGGACCCGGACCCGCCCCCACCATGCTCCGGCTCCGAGAAGCGCAGCCCAGCTGTTCCTTCAGGGTCTGCGCAGCAGCGGGGTCTCGCGTGGGGGCCCGCGGCAGAGTGCGGAGGAGGAGGGCAGCTAATTTGAGAGGTCAACGAATAACCAAGGAACTGTTCTGGATCATTAGTATAAAGATTAGGGGAAAATAATGTTTTGTATTAAAACAAAAATAATGTGTAATCTGCTTACAATATATTTATGCATAGATGGTAACGATAAAACTCGAGAAATGCCGTTTGCTTAGAGCACTTTGAAGGATCTCACACTACTAAGTCCTGATGTCCTGCTTCCACTTTTCTGTCTTAAGGAGAGTGGAGAGCCCTGGCTGATGTTCAATCCAAGGGTTCTCCATTCAGCAAACCTGCAAGGCCGTGTGTGTGTGTGTGTGTGTGTGTGTGTGTGTGTGTGTGTGTGTGTGTAAGGGGGAGTGGTGCAGAAAAGGAGAAGAGTAATGGGAGACTCTGTCTTCAGTCATTCTGCTCTGTTGGGGTGGGGTGTGAAGGGGACTCAGGTGAGGCGGAAGGCATTGAGGGTCATGGTAAAGAATTTCTGGAAAGTACTGAGTTTTTAAGCAGGAGAATAACCCGGCCGGATTGGGGTTTCCTCAGCCTAATATGGATGAAGGGCTAAGTAAACACTTAATACAGACTACAGCATGTACCATCCATTTCCATTCATAGTCTAAGAAGTAACATCAAGATTCTTTAGAATATATTTTCCAGGAGATATTGTTGGATGAAAGAAAAAAATGTTAGAAGACTCAAATATGCATAGATACATAGACATGAATACATCCCAACTTACACATATGCATAGACATTATTGGCAGAGCAAAAATTCTGCAGAACCATATAGCAGTTCTAATCATCCTCAAGGAGGGGCTGAGATTATGAGGGAACTATTAAATTCTGTAGCACCACTTATTCTGTTAATTTTATAATAACAAAGATACAGCGGGTTCACACGATTCATGGGTTTCACATTTGCAAATTCACCTCAAAATTTATTCATAATCTTCAAATCAATACTTGACCTACTTATGCAGTTATTGGTGGGTATATATGTATGGACAGAAAGGTGAAAATTTTGATTGGCCCGTGGGGTCCCTTCCCAACTGAGGCTGAGCAAAAAGGAGCCATGCTGATTTCTTGTTTCGAATTTGGTAGTATAAACAAAAATCTTTTTTGAGATCTATTTAGGGCCACATTTTCATGTTTTTTTCCTGGATATTTTACTGTTTAAATAGCTACCATCTTAGTGGTGGGCGAAGCACTGGTTAATGTTCCTATATGCAAGAAGGCCGTAGGGAGAAAATATGTGTATTTAATAAGCTTTGTTCAGTACATGAGTGCTGTTAGCTGTGAGTTTAATGTTAATGAATCAACAATATACAGATGGTCTTCTGCTTCTGCTGTGGATTCAACCAACTGCATATTGAAAATATTTGAAAAAAATTGCCTTTGTACTGAACACGAACAGACTTTTTCTTGTTATTCCCTAGATATTACAGTATAATAACTATTTACATAACATTTACATTGTGTTAGGTATAAGAAATCTAGAAATGAGATACTGTCTATGAGAGGATGCAGATTCTGTGCAATTACTGTGCCATTTTGTATAAAACATTTTGGCATCCATGGATTGTGGTATGCATCAGGATACTCGCATACTGAGGGACAGCTGTATACATTAAATACAGTGTCTTCCAGAAGAAACATACAAAAAACAAAGTTATGTCTTGATTGACTACTACAAATGTAGGTACTTGCAGGAACCTGATCCCATATTTCCTCTTGGGATGATGACTCAGGGTTTGCTAATTCAGTCATTGCAGTGACTTTATAGAACATAACTACCATGCATAATGAGAGTCAACTCTATTTAAAATAGTAGTGTGTAATAGCATCCACCAATACAAGGCACCAAACCCCCATACCTTTCCATTCAGGTAACACTGGCTCAGGTCCACTTGGATGAGGGGGAGCAGGAGGGTGAATATTGAGCAGCTGTCATGGGGCAGGTATTGTGGTAGGTGCTTCAAGCCTATTTTATTGAATCGTCACAACTTGACATTTTGCTCTCAATTTTCTGATGCAGCTTCTGTTTAGAGCAGGGAAGAGATCTGTGTAAAGCCTGTACACACACTGGCTTCTTCACTCAGGCTGGTGGAAAAGCTTATGTATCTGTACAGCCTGGACCATGGCTGAGTCTGAGCTGCCAGCTCCATCTCATAGACCTTATAAATAGCTCAGCTGGGATGCTTGTCTCAGTTTCTCTCCACCATCCCAAACCTTGCTCACCACCATAACCCATGGAGACATCCCCCCTGCTGCTTGTCAGTGAGTGCCTTTCCTCTTTCTACTCCACAAAGGAGCAGAGCCCCTCACGGAGGACTTTTCCACTTCCAATCCAATTGAACCTCTCAACGTATCTAGAGAAATGCTGCAGGTCCTTTGTAAAATGAGGCAGGATGTAAATGAAATGAACAGATAAAGTAAATGCATTTTTGTCTTTATTGGGCCCCACCTCCTTCACCTGGCCTAGGAGGATGAAGCAAGCCTTCTATTCAAAATAGTTCCTCCACCTGAACCCAGGCCTAATCCCTTGCAGGCCTCCTCTGGGACTTAACTCCTTCAACTTCAATTATCCCCCTCTTGACTATATTTTTGTCTTCTGTCTCATAATTGGCTGCTTTCCTTTCTTTCTTTCTTTTTTGTGGTACTAAGGATTGAACTCATGACCTCGCATTTGCCAGGCAGACACTTATGTCACTGAGCTAAATCCCTAGCCCCTGGCTGCTTTTCTTCACCCTACATACTCAAGATCTTTCTGAAACAATACACTAAACTCTATAGTTTCCCCCACCTCGAGCCATCATCCTTGCCTTTCTCTAACCTGGCTTTTTGAAAAATTCCTCCACATGTCCTCCCCTGATAAATATCATCCCACCACTCCACTAAAGTGACTAATCATCTCCTAATTGCCAATTAAAAATAGCTTCTGGTAGATACTTGCAGCTGCACAAACACAAAAGAGAGGAAAAATTAAGAAGAAAAATTGACATATTCCTAATTCCACTACCCAGAAAGAACTATGATTAATACTTGGATTATATCCTTTTAGAGCTTTATCACATAAAATATATGCAATATCCTTAAGAGGAGAGATAGGAGGGAGAAGAGGGAGCAAAAAGAAAGGGGAGGAGGGTTTTTTTTGTTTATAGTACTGAGTATTGAACCTGGGGTCTTCATACTGAGCTACATCCCCAGATCTTTTTTTTTTTTTTTTTTTTTTTTGAGACAGTCTTGTTAAGTTACTAAGCTGCCTGATCGGATGTTGAATTTGTGATCCTTCTGCCTCAGCCTGCCAGAGTGCTGTGACTATAGACATGTGCCACCACACTTTGCTGAGAGATTTTTGAAAAATAAAATCAAGTTCACTCTAAATCAGTGACTTCCAGAGGAGTGTTGTTAAACCTTGTTGTCTTAGCAGAGTGTTTTATGGAGCTGACACTGAGATGAGAATGGGAGTGAAAATGGTTTATTTTGGAAGTGTAAGTAACATCAATAGGGAAGTGGGAACAGGTAGATTCTTATTTCAGAGGGCAATTGGAGATTTATCGTGCAATGCAGGGGAACTCCTAGAGGAGTACAAAACTCAGAATCATCCAGTCCAGTGGTTCCTAAGCTTTTTAGCATCATGGTCTGGTGTCATGAAAGACAATTTTCTCACAGATGAGAGTTGGGGATAGCACGGACAGAAGCATAAATAAAGTAAAGGATGATGCACGGACTAAAATAAGTATCAGATTCTAATTTAAAGCCTGATGCCAGATGCAATTGTACAATCCCTGTGCCTCAACTCACTTGCCACTATAAAGCCTACCACCAGAGGCAGCTTTATTTTCATTTATCACACTCACTGATGGGGTTTTGATATGAGTCTGCAAGCAGTTGATTTATTATAGTCTCTATGCTGTCAGACCTCTCTGTTAATGTTAGTCCATATTTGCAGCTAACATTGAGATGAGGATGGAAGTGAAGCAATGTTAATAGGGAATTGGGAACAAGGAAGAGACAGAGAAGTGGGAACAGAGGGCAACTGAAGATTTATCCTGCAGGGGAACTCCAAGAGGGTTATGAAACACCAAAAATCATTCAGTCCAGTGGTTGCTACTCCTCAGGGCTGGTGTCACAGTCTCAGCTCCACCTCAGATCATCAGGCATTAGAAGAAGAAGCATGCAGTCT